GGGCGGGGGGGCGGGGAGAGGCCGGGGAGGCGGGGACCCGGCCCGGGGACGCGGTGTCGGCCGGTGGGAGTCCGCGGCGAGGAGACGGTCGGGCTTTCGGGACGGGTCGGCCTCTGCCCGAGCGCCGGGGCGTGTCCGGACTCGCAGGCCCCGCGGGTCTCCCGGCGCTGGGCGGAGCCGCCCGACCTCGGGGCCCCGACGGGCGCCAGGCCCGCGTCCCGGAGGCGTTTTCTCCGGCCTTCGCGCCGGCCTGCATCGCTCCGTTGTCTGCAGGCGTGGAGGCCGGGCCCCATCCGCAGGCCGCCCAGCGCCCGCCGTGCTTCCCTTTGCGGGAAACCGAGTCTTTGCAGCGAGGAGTGCGGCCTTTGTATTCTTTGGAGTCTTTTTGACATTTGATGAGGAACAGTTTATCAGTGACTGCTGTGGCGCCACCCGGGCGCGCGTGTTAAAAACGTAGCTTTCTTGGCCTTATTTTCAGAGATTCCCGTTCTTGTGGCCTGTGCTGTGGCTCAGGAAACACCTCTTGGGGTGGTTGTGAAACGTCTGTCCCGCCTCTTAGGCCACGCTGAGGACCAGTCGGGTACATGCTAGAGCCCCGAGGGTACCCAGGAGAGACCCCGCTGCGGCAAGGCGTGCTCTTTGTTCTCCGTGGGACTAGCCACAGTCCTTCCTCAGAATCCCTTCAGAGTGTGAAAATGTTAATTTCTCGGCCTCATCCAGGGTCTGCAGAACGGGATGTCTGGGGAGGAGCCCCAGGATATGTGTGTGATAAGCTTCCTGCATAATTTTGATGCATGGTTTGAGAATCCTTGTCTATACTCTTTTATGGGTGATTTCAGGACTGTTTTTTCCAAACATTGATAGACTCATAGCATTTCACAATCAGCATGGCTACTAAGCTCTGCACAGCCCCATCCACCCTCCCTGGGGGAGGAGAAAACCTAACCTTGCAAAGAGAAGCCGCCTCTTCTGACTTCTGTGACAGATGGTGGCTTCAACTGTTCTGTTCTCCATTCTGTCCGTGGTTGTTTTTTTCTTTACATGCAGAATCTCTTCTGGGTATTTTGGTGGGTCGGAAAGGTCAAGTAAAGGGTAATTATATTGTGTAGGGTATCCACCCTTTTCCTTCTCCCTTCCCGCCCCCTGGCCCTCGTCCAGTGGGCTGTGTTTTGGTGGTTTTCAGACTGGTGTGCAGGGTTCTGGGACTTTGTGTTTCGCGTCTGGGCCGCACACACTGCTGGGAGGTGAGTTTTTCTAGGATCATGTGTGAATGTGTCATCCTTTCTTCCTGCTTCTGCTCAAGAACTGTCCATTTCTGCACCTTCCACACGACCAGCAAGGAACAGAAACATCGTCTTTTAACCCAGAGAACAGGACACGTTGGGACCGAGCCAGCGTCAGGACAGGTGGCCCCTGCCCTGCAGCTCTCGGGGAGGCTGCTTTTGTCCTCCTACTTAGGAGTCTCTGTCCTGTTCGATCTCTGCCAACTGGTGGTCTCAAAACTCATTTTGCACGTAATGACTGACCACCTCCAATTTCGAATTCCCAGTTCTGGAGGGAGACTCTGAGTGGCCTAGGCCATCTTTCTGAGCGGTCACGTGTCCATCCCTGGCTGTGGCTGAGGGCAGGGAACCTGGCTGTCGAGGTAGCGGGGCCATGGGCAGAGTCCTGCGGAGGAGGCAGCTCTAGAGCACCGGCCTTCCTCAGTGGGACAGGTACCAAGGGTCCCCTTGTTCTGCACCTGCACTAGGCTCCGGGGTCCGCAAGGAGGAGAGCGAGCCCTTGGTAGATTAGTTCACAGGGGAGCTCTGAGAGCTGTCTTTTGAAGGTTACATTTCAGCTTGTTAATGTTAAAGCGGGCTCAGATGGTGGCACAGCTGTTAGGTGTGACACTGCGAAGCCGACTCAGTAGAAGGGTTGGGTTCACATCCAGGGATTTCTATGAGTTTGCTTGGTGCACAGGTGCCCACGAGCCGGGGCTGGCTGAGGGTGGCAGTGTCAAGGCCTGTTGGAGGTGCTGTCTCTCTCTGAGTCTGGTCTCTCTCACTAATGCAAGAAGTAAATAAAGTTTTTTTTTTTTTGAGAGTTTTTTTTGCTATAGGGCGCGTGCGCTCGCCAGACAGACAGAGACAGACAGAAAGCGAGAAATCACCCCCCAGGGGGGATGGCCACGCCGCAATCCCTTCTCCTCCATTCTCCTCTCCGGATCTTGGGCATGCACGCACACATGCCCGGCGTGAGTTTAAGCCACCAGGTCCAGGGCTTGAACTGCGGTCGGCTACATGGGAGTCTAGCGACATAGCCATTACTCTAACTGCTGGTCCCAGAAGTAAATAAACTTTAAGGGGAAAAAAAAACAATATCCAAATTGGGCCAGCCAGTCATTCCAGGTAGTTGGATCAGCATGGGCTCATCCAACCCACACACTCTGGATTCTGTCCACAGGTACTGGGCTCTCCTAGTGCAGGAGTCAGCGCTGAGCAAAAATAGCCTTTTCTCACAGGGCTGTACTTGTCGGGCGGGGAGCAGACCAGGTAAGTGGTGTGGAGAGTGATTGGCATGTGGAGTAATGCTCAGTGCCATGTAAAAGCAGGAGCGGGGAGTGGGGTGCGCAGTGACAGGCATGGGGTGATGGCTGACTTATACACACTGGCCGGGTGACACTCGAGCAGAGACACCACCGTGGCCTGAGCAGACTGGAGGAGGAAGCAGGCTGTAGGAGACAAGTGCAGGGAGGTAGGGGGAGGGGCGGAGTAGAGCCAGCCCTGCAGGTCCAGCCCCAGGCCTGGTAAGGGTTTGGGAGAAGACAGCTGTTGGGAGTTTGGAGACTTACGATTTCAGCAGTTGTCTCTGGCTTCTATACGGAACAGGTGAGGACTGCCACTCAGGCACAGGAGTGCGAGGCCGGGGCAGGGCCCTGGGGTGCAGATGGGTCAGTGTTGCTAGGGACTCAGAGAAAGGGGGACAAGAAGGAATGGGCGTGGAGGACCACAGGAGAGGCCACGTTCAGGAACTGTCGTGTGACGTCTGGAGGATGCACGATCAGTAAGCACTGGGCAGTGCGGCCACTGCTGTTCCTGCACACAGCTTCTTAGTGACGGGAGAAAAGCTGCAGAGTGCATCTAATTATTGGCCTTTTGGTGAAAGCATTTTGAGTATACCAAAAAGGAAAAAAAATATTACCCTAGTAAATTTGTTTTAGAGGTTCTCAAATGAGCTTACTACAATATAAAGACTTCTACTATTGCTGTTGGCTAATTCTGCCATTTTCAAAAATAATATCAAGACGCGGGAACCAGCAGTTAGCGTAATGGCTATGTCGCTGGACTCCCACGTAGTCGACCGCAGTTCCTGTCCTTGACCCGGTGGCTTAAAATTCACGCTGGGCGCGTGTGCGTGTGTGCCCAAGATCCCAAGACCAGAATGGAGGAGAAGGGATTGTGGCGTGACCATCCCCCCTGGGGGGTGATTTCTCGCTTTCTGTCTCTCTGTCTCTGTCTGTCTGATGAGCGCACGCGCCCTATAGCGAAAATCTCTCAAAAAAATAATAATATCAAGATGTTAGTTTTTTGCTGATTGTGCAAAACAACGTGTAACCCTTCAGTCCCATTTATTTAAGAAATTTAGTGTCAGAACAGCAGGTGGCATAGTAGTTAAGGCACTGGACTCCCATGTGGCCAACTGCAGTTCGTGTTCTGGACCTGACAGCTGGAAACTCACGCTGGGCATGTGTGTGTGTGTGCCCAAAATCCCAAGAGGAGAATGGAGAAGAAAGCATTGTGGCATGGCCATCCCATGTGGAGGGGGGCTGGGATTTCTCGCTTTGTATCTCTGGTGAGCACATGTGCCCTATAGCAAAAATTTCTCTCAAAAGAAAAAATAAGGAAAGAAATTTAGTGTCTGCTGTGGGTCAGGAATCGTGTTAGGTGTTGAGTATTGGGTGTAGATCAAGAGAAAATAGTCCTTTGTCTTGTAAAGCTTATATCCTGGTGAGAAAGACAGTTACTGAGTGGGTAAATACCTGGATTACGTTTTCTGAACACGTTTAGAAAAGTGCGCTAAAGGAATAAGAAGGATCCTATGATAGAGAACAGCCCAGGCTAGGGGAGTAGAGTGAGAACGGGCACAGGGGAGTGATCATAGTCTACTCTTCCGTGAAGCAGCTAATACTCACGGAGCTCCTGTTCGTTAAGCATTGATTTAATCCCTTCGCACATCACCGTGTCGTCATTTGATGAGAAACTTGAACTCTCGGACCAGCAGATGGCGTAGTGGTTATGTCGCTGGACTCCCGCATGGAGGCTTGGAGTTCATGCTTGGTGCATGTGTGTGCCCAAAATCCCAAGAGGAAACTGCAGGAGAAGGGAATGTGGTGTAGCCATCCTCCCTGGGGGGGTGGGGGGTGATTTCTCACTTTTTGTCTCTGGTGAGTGCACACGCCCTATAGCAAAAATCTCTCTTAAAAAAAAGAAAAAAAAAGAAAAAAATCCACTTTTTTTTTTGTAATTTTGAAGTATACAATATTATATATTATTACTAACTGTGGTTAATTAATATTATTATTAACACTGGTATTGACTGTGGCCACCATGCCGTGCAGTTGATCACTAAAACTTACTCGTGGGTCTCAAATAAACTTTGTCGGTTTGACCAACACTCCCCCTCCTCGTTGTTCTAAGTAAGGCCATGTGGGTG